GCTTAAATGATTATGTTTTAGGAGTTAATTACAGCGTGTTGAAATGGTGGAATTAAAATGTTAATTTCACTGGATGGAATTGGTTCTTCCTCAGTTCAGCATATCTACATTGGTCATTTTAAGTAGCTTAAATCAAAGTTTGTACGTCTAAATATTTTTTCAGTTATGTTTAAAGACATAGTTTGTGGTCACAGTTTCATCGATCCCAAACTTTTTGTGTGCCTCGTCATAATGTGTAGTCGTTTTAAATATAAGAGTCTGTTAAATGACTCTGCAGATATGTGTTTTCATATCAGGAGCTTAGGAATTCTAGCCAAGCCTGTAAGAATATTCTGTCCACAAAAGCCAGTCATTGCTTTTGTCATTGCTGTTCAAATGATTTGCTGGGCCAGTATCCACGGGGAAGTCTTTCATTAGCAATTTAATGCAAAACCATGAATTTTAAGACTTAAGAAGCTGTCAGTTATCTGTTTTATTTTTCTAATCCCAATTATCCCTCAGAGATGATCAAAATGTTGACCATTCATGTAGTCATCAGAAGAGGGATAATTCACTGGCCTCTATTAAAACAGTTCCATTCAGTCAAACTTTGCTTAAAATGTTAATTAGTATTCACAATCCAATTTTTTTTTTATTTCAGCTGACATCATTTCAACAGTTGAGTTCAACTATTCTGGAGAATTACTTGCAACTGGAGACAAAGGCGGTCGAGTAGTGATATTTCAACACGAACAGGAGGTAAGATTCACTCGGGGAAGTGATCCCTGGCCCTGTGTTGCATTAACTGCATGTGCCTGCTGACTTAACACTTTCTGTCCTTTCTCCCAGTCGAAGAATCGTCCACACCTGCGTGGGGAGTACAACGTCTATAGCACTTTTCAGAGTCACGAGCCAGAATTTGACTATTTGAAAAGTTTAGAAATTGAAGAAAAAATTAATAAAATAAGATGGCTACCCCAACAAAATGCTGCTCACTTTCTACTTTCAACAAATGGTATGAGTTTTCCCACCTGTGCAGATTTGTCCTTTTAAGAATACCTGTAAATGTGACTGAACTTTACCTTTGAATTCTCATCAGATAAAACTATCAAATTGTGGAAAATAAGTGAAAGAGATAAACGGGCAGAAGGTTACAACCTGAAAGACGAAGATGGGCGACTCAGAGACCCCTTTAGAATCACCTCTTTACGGGTCAGTGTAACCACACAGCAGATATCTGATATTGATGAGTTATGGTGATGGTAAAATTGTACTGAGGCGCATGTGCTGTATGTTTCAGGTACCAGTGCTGATGCCAATGGATCTTATGGTAGAAGCAAGCCCCCGGAGGATCTTTGCAAATGCGCACACCTATCACATTAATTCCATTTCTGTAAATAGTGATCATGAAACTTACCTCTCTGCAGATGACCTAAGAATAAATCTATGGCACTTGGAAATCACAGACAGAAGTTTTAGTATCCTTTTTTGTCACCATTGGACAGCAGATTTGAAAAAAACGTGGCTTCACAGGCTGTGTTCAGTCATCTTTGTGGAATAGAAGGCAGTTCCTTAACTGTGTTTCCCCAGATATTGTAGACATCAAGCCCGCCAACATGGAGGAACTGACGGAAGTAATCACAGCTGCTGAGTGCCATCCACACCAATGCAATGTATTTGTGTACAGCAGTAGCAAAGGCACCATCCGCCTGTGTGACATGCGAGCTGCAGCTCTCTGCGATAGGCACTCTAAGTGTAAGTGCCTCCACTGTAGGCCTGCCCTGTTTCACACACTGCATTAAATCCATCGAAATGTTGCCAAAAAGAACGTGCGACTCTTAGAATGGCTTTGTCATATGTCATTTTGCTCTGTTTTATGTGTGCGTGTTTAGTCTTCGAGGAACCTGAGGATCCGAGCAGCCGGTCCTTTTTCTCTGAGATCATCTCCTCCATCTCAGACGTGAAGTTCAGTCACAGCGGACGCTACATGATGACACGTGACTACCTCTCCGTCAAAGTTTGGGACCTCAACATGGAGAACAGGCCTGTGGAGACGTATCAGGTATGTACATATTTAGGCTTAAAAAGTGGAACTGACTTTAACCTCCATTTTTTTTTTACGGAATGAGACGTTGTGGCTTCTTTTTAAAGATTTCTTTAACTTAGATTTTTTATTTTTAGGGCCTTTTACTTGTCTAGATGTTTGGATGTTTATAAATCTAGCAAAGCTGTTACATACAAGTAGTTATGTAAAATCAAAAGATCATTCAATTGGGATGCAAGCTCCTTGTGACTGGAAAAAAATGCTGCCTCAGAGGTGTTTGCTGGCCATGTATCTGTGGGCACAGCGAAGCACAAATATCACCATTCACTGAGAGGGGAGAAAAGCATGAGCTGATGTTCAGACGTGTTGTGGAAGCTGGAAGCACTCTTGTATTCTTCGAGGGCTTTTCAATTGATTTCTGAGCTTTTGTGATGCCTTGTTTCAGGTCCATGAATACCTTCGCAGTAAACTCTGCTCTTTGTATGAAAACGACTGCATCTTTGACAAGTTCGAGTGCTGCTGGAATGGCAGTGACAGGTGAGGGGTGCACCAGCTCCAGCTTTTTGTGTTTTTCGATTTCTGCTCGCTCAGCTACTCGGCTTCTATTGTTTTTAACCTCTTGAATTGTTTCGTTATTCATTGTGTCTCCTGTCCCCTCTCCCCTCGTCCTTTAGTGCCATCATGACTGGCTCCTACAACAACTTCTTCCGAATGTTCGACCGCAACACCAGGCGGGATATCACACTGGAGGCTTCCCGGGAGAGCAGCAAACCACGGGCCACGCTCAAACCGCGCAAAGTGTCCACCGGCGGCAAGAGGAAGAAGGATGAGATCAGCGTGGACAGCCTGGACTTCAACAAGAAGATCCTCCACACGGCCTGGCACCCCAAAGATAACGTGATAGCTGTGGCAGCCACCAACAACTTGTACATTTTCCAGGACAAAATCAACTAGAAGATATGGGGCTCCAGAGGATAGGGCTTTTACCGTACCTGTGTAGTTAAGCCTACTACTTGTCTATCTGTATAAGAAGAAACAGCCTTGTTGTCCTCCTGGTGAAGAATTCGAAAGCACGTGTCTACTTTTTTTGCCACAGGAGGTTGATCCATAGGCCTGTTTTATTTTGAGTATGAGCTTAGGTTGTTTTTTGCCTTTGGCACCAGGGCAATCAACATGCCCCTTGAACCAGAAAGCCCAATTTGGGGTCTAATTGACGGAATGGCACTCCCTAGAGGTCAAACTCTTGAACATTGGTGTTTGTGTTGACATTTTAAGCCTTCATTTCACAATTTAATGACAGAACTCTTGGAAGTCCGTAAAATGACGTCTTGTCGAGGTTGTGTCCACCTTTCAAAGATTTGGGGCCCTCCGAAGCACGGATTAATGGCCAATAAGCCTAACTGTAACATTCCCCCGTTGGCCATGTATTCAGGCCAAACTACTGGTGGAAAAGGCCATGAATTTGGAAAGTGGACTTGTTTCTTTTCCTCCCTTCCCTTCTCTTATTTTACCCCGGTCAATACGGTGACATAATTTCACTGACTGTATCTACTCAAGTACACCTTGTCATCCACATAATAAAAGAAACTAAAACTACAGATGTGTTTTTAAATTTAGAAGTATGTATTAAAACATGTTTATTGCTTTGCATGTTCCTATGTTGTAGAGAGGTGGAAAAATGTCCAGTCACACCACTGTCTTTTGAGCAGATCTCAAGCAATCTTGTCAAGGAAATACTATTTGGGGCTATCAGTTTTAGAATCACTGTTGGAAACAGCTGATCATGTGTTCCTGTCAAGAGATTAAGTTATAGTTTTTGACGATGTCTTAGGATGCAGGCTAAAAACTGAATGGCACAAGCTAGGGTACAGGATAAAGGGAATCTGCAGCCTTAATACCTACTTCTATCAGTGACAGCTACAAGTTATGTCCCCAAACGTTTTACAAACCTCATGTGCATTATTTGTAAATCCTATTTTATAGAGTTATGTCCTCATATACTGCTGCTATATGTGGCTGTCTATGAAAACTCAAAGGAGGAAAATTGCACACCATACAGTTTCTGTAATAGAGTGCCTCCGAGTCTTGTAATAAGTAGGAAATAAAGACAGGCCTCATACATGTGCCCTTACTCATTTATTAGGGATGTCACCCAAATTTCAACCGCATATTGCAAATGTGGATCTTATCTCAGTAGTTGTGAATGCAGAAATGAAGGTTGACTACACAAAACATATACTGATGACGTTAAAACACATAATATTGCATTGTCTTTGTTCATTGATTCCTAACATGGTGGCAATGTATACACTTGTTTATTATTTTGACCAAAGTTCAATAAAATTTTAATTGTGTTCATCTGCATGTTTTGTTTTGCTTTGTTTAATGATCTATTTTATGATTTTGCTGGTTTGATGATTTTCACTGGTTTGTAAATCCATCAGGGCCACGTGTGTTTTTCCCCCAAATGAATAGACCACATGTCTGCTTACCCAGGGAACTTATGACTTTCTTGGTCGAATTTTAGATGTGCACAAGTATGCAAAAAGTAATGAATGCACTTAACTCTAAGTTAGTAACATGTGCCCACAAAAAAATACTAGGGAATTCAGAATTCATTTCTTCAATCACTGATATACAAGTCTGACAGCGTACTATATTAGACATAATAGCAATTAAAAACAGGCAATTAGGAACAAATGTCTCTTAACATGCAGATTTAAAGAGCACTAAGCAGAACAGTCATCTCCAGGACAAACACAGCAGCAGGGAGCTGGAAACTGGTCGCTGCTGCTGCTTGAATAACTAACCATCATGAAACTCCAGTGACAGGTCCTGTACTCTTCATACTACTTTGGTGCGCTCAGTCAAAATTTGACTATGTCACATGGCCACATCTCCCTTGAACTTCCGTGGGTCCCATTTTAAGGCATGCCAAGCTGGTCGTATGAAGCTGTCACAACAGATGACCACCTAATTAGTAGGTGTTATGGGAAGTTAGGCGCTTTCCGATGTATATCCTGAAAAACAAAAGGTTTAACAGTTAATTGGAAACATTTTTTTAACTCACAATTACTACAAAATGTATTAAAATATATATATGTCAGAAACAAGTTATTTATGAGGAGCTTATGCTGTATGAGCAAGTTCCTGTAGATACTGAGACAGCCAACATAAAAAGGAGACTATTTGAGAACCAAAAGAGCAAAACCCAGAGCATACTAGTTTACTTATTAAAATGGCACACTGAACACAAGAAACACATGTCAGCAGTCAAAAACTGCTTATTCAGGCATGCTATAACAGTGTCATTAGTTAATTATTTTGCTAATAACTCTTCTGTTCCCCTGTCTAAATGCTGTGTTTGTGAGACAAAATTAAAAAAGAAACAAAAAAGAGAAACCAGATGCTTAATTAAGCTAAACCTTTTAGTATTTGTCATTCAAAAGATCAACGTACTTAATCTGTCTGGCAAACTTCTTGAGAAAATACTGCAACTACATGCAGTCTGAAATATTCGTTCCTAGAATAAGAAAATAGAGTATGCCCTTACCCTAAACCAACAGCAAGTATGTGAGAAATTATTAATGAGGGAAGGAAAAGCTTCAGAAAGTCAGCAGACAGAATGCCCCCCTTCTTCATGACACTGGTGTTCCGTATGCTGAGAGAGGCTGAGCGCTTCGGGTACTTCAGCAGGAACTCCCTGCAGTGGAACACATTAATTTTTCATCACTCTGAACAGATTAAAATCCAGTTTAATGTCATGCATCTGCTCAAGCAGACACTACTCTAAAGTATATAATCCACTATTACAAAGCATCACATGCGCTAGTTGAAGTATTGCAATAGAATTACTTTGTGGTGCCACATGTCTTGTTTTTATCATGACTTTCCCTTATACCAGCTTTTAGAAATGAGGAATTCTTGTTTAAATTGTTAAATAACTATTTTTAAAAGATAACCATTTACTTTGGTGGATTGTTTTCAGGTCGACTGGACCAGTCCCAGATCCAATCGGCATTTTTCTTCATCAGGTTTTCTACTTCCCGTCTCCTTTCTTGGAAGTCTTCATCAGACTGAAAACACAATTTTGAGTGATCAAGTGCTGTTCAACAGCTTAGTCATCGACTATAAAACATCTTATGAATAATCTATTGTAATATTTTTAAGAACAAACTAAATGTCTCCATGTGTCACATTAAAAGAGGCAGAACTATTAATTGTACAGGTGTTGCCAAAAGCAACGGTCACAAAAGCAGGAAACTCCCCTAAATGGAATGCAGCAGGTACTATTAAACTGCCACTTTCCTGCTATAGCATGTTAACATGCCTGTTACGAAAGAAACAACTTTATCAAAGGAGGTGTAAGACTGTGATAATAAGATATTGATGCGAGTTGATGGTTCCCAACCTGAGAGCTGTTTCCCTCCGAGCCTCTCCACAGAAGGAGTGGGGTCTGTGATCTGAGGGGGCTGTTGTTGAAAAGCAAAACAGATGATGTAGTCAAGAGACTTTGAATACTTCAGGGATAATAGAGGTATTACACAACAAATGTGCTTCCCCTTTTCACACAAACCTGTTGCACTGAGAGCTTCCTCTGGAGCTGCTTCTGCCTGACTCGTGTTGAGCTTCGAGCAGCATTTTCTCCAGGTCGCCCTCTAGGCTGGAAGTGGGGATTTGCTCCTGACTGCCTCGGTGGCTTGTGCCTTGAGAGCCAGTTCCGCTAAAATGCAGCTCAACCCAAGAGCCTTAAGGGGGGAAAAGCACACTCTTGAATGAATTGTGGTGTATTTTCCAGTGGCACATTATAGGTGACGTATCTCAACAAGAAGTGCCACGCAAGCTAAGCACACAGTGGGACAACAAACAGCTGGGGGTGGGGGTGGTGGGTCAGATGCCTGACTTTGACTTCTGTGTCCGACTGGAAGAAAAAGTAAGCTTAATAAATACAACTACGACGGGACTTCCTCTTACATTTGGTAAATACATTTATGAAGTAGCATAAGTTTTAACCCAGGTAAACAGCCCTAGCCATGGAGCTTTGGACGAGGTTACGTTAGGTGATTCAATGTTAGATACCTCGTTTTTTTCTCGACAAAGCTTTATACGAGATACTTTACCTTGCAAACTCTCCTCAGACGATGTGTCCTTTTGAAGTGACATTTCGTTTGGTGTTGTTCTGCAGTTGTGCCGTTTTACAGGCCTGAGTGGTGGCGAAATGTCTGGAAGCAGCCGAGGCTCCAACTACCACAATAACAATGACGCAATGTTGTGTTTATCTCAACCGTGATTGGCTTAGAGGATAGGACGCAAGGCACGCAAACTGACCTCGCGTCTGACGTCAGAGAAAACGCGCGCGTACACACAAACAGTGCTCTTGAAAGTTAACATGGAGTTTTTAGTCTTATAGGTTTGAATAAACGTCTAAGAAGTTCTGAAAACATTGTGTTTATGTTAGATCATTTCCAATTTTATATTCAGCCTTGCATAAAAATCGCAGTTTCAAAAACATGTCTGCAGATGGCAGCCTTGGATTTTTACTGCCGAGTCTACAAAAGGTTTTAGCTAAAAAAATACAGTAACTCGGTCTGCACTGAATATGTTTTCAATTAATTGCCCACCAAATTTGAAAATGTTTTCATCTTCCATACAATGGCAAAAATTTTATAATGATGATTATTGGATAATTGCTCATTTTTATTAATTTGTTTTTCCATTGCTATTTATTTCTCCCAGTTCTACTGGTCACTTTTTATGTCTTGCTGTTAACTTTTTAACTTGTTTTGGTAATTTACTTTTCTTTGACTGAATGTTCATCACGGTATTGCTTGTTAGGTCTCTTTTTTCATCTGTCACTATTGTTGTATTGTATTGTATTGTTGTTATTATTTGTTTTTAACAGAAATGTGCCTCTTTAATTACACTGCATCTCTTAATTATGTCATCAAATTTGGCTGAAACAGGACAATTCCTTTAACTTGTTTGATTTTTTTTAATGGTATTTTCCCCCTTTATCTTTAATATTAACTGTATAACTGTATTAACTGTTTAACTGTAATATCAACATTATTGTTTTGGTTTTTGCAACGTTTAGTTGTCCCACACCCACTACTCAGAGTTCATAAGCTCTTCCCATGTGGAGAAAAGGATCATTCATTCATGAGCCTGAAAAAGTTAATTAAAGAAAATCAGGGTGACTAATTGTTCTTGTAAAATGATGTAATTACTGAAGTATTATTTCATAATCATTTTGGGTGTGCTTTCTTTGCAGGCAGGATATGTCTTTCTAGGGAAATCCAGAAGTTTCTAAATAATTCAAAGCAAAGATAGATAACTAGACAGACAGAAACAGATAGCTAAAACAGGCAACTGACCTCTGGAGTTTTAACTTCATTAAGTTTTACAATGATTCTCTCTAATTGTCTAAAGGAGTATGCTTAATCAATTATGAACAAATCATGAACATATCAAAGAGGCTAAAAAGTCATTTCAAATTTCTTTTCAATAAAAAAAGAGGCCTTTTGAAAGAGAAGGAATAAAAATGACTCCTGACCATTCAGCTAAAACTGACCTACTGAATGATATAAGATTTCCAAGATTATCAAGAAACCAAGAAACAAATAAAACACATTCAGGTAAGAGCTGGGGTATCGTGAACCCCAGCTCTGCCCAGATGTGCAGTATATGTAAATTGAATCTGACTGAAATCAACAATGCTTCAAAATGGCGTAGAATTTATTTCAGTTTTATGTCTCCTACAACCATGTCTCACTGATGTCTTTTTCTTCTGCCTAACACTCTGGCTCTGACTTTGGTTTGTATATCCTCCTCATTCTCTGATATTTTTCTTACTCCATAACTCCTCCATGGCTCTGGATCTAGATCAAGTGTCTTAAACCAGGCTTTACTTGAGCTTTTTGAGGATCAGTCAACCGTTCCAACAAATTACTTTTGTGTTGCCTTGGTTGTGCAACAGACCTTTGAAATAGGAAACATATTGAAGTTGGCAGAAATCATTCCTATTTATGGTTTAATTATGGTTATATTTGTTGGAAAAGAAGTGTGACACTTTGACAGTAGGTGTTAAAACCCATAGGGACATCAGTGTACAGTTTGTTCTGTCTGTGTGTAGATTTGTAATTGCTGGCAGCACATCTGGCAAAAAATAGTGGTCCACTGCCGATATAATAGGCTGATAGTAAAGACAGCTTAGTGTTTGTTTTTTATCTGTGTACGCATCTGATGCTGACATAACTCTATAGACTCATGTGTGGTAGAAGAGAAGCTGCTTCCATAAGAAACAATAATACCAGACTGGAACAATGGAGAAAAAGGCTTTGGAAAAATGTCATGACGCGTGTAGTCTTTATGGTACCAAAGGCAGGAAATGTTCAGGTTTCACAGAAGATGAAGCAAAGATTTTTTCATTTTTGCCGTGTTTTAAGCTCTATATATTTGCCTTCACACTTAAAGTTTGGTGCATTTCAAGTTTTTAAGACAGATCGTCTCAGGCAAAAACAAAAGGGCTCCATTACAGCCTATCTTCTTAACCCACAAAAAAGCATAATTTTCCAAGTGCATCTTATGATTTTACTTTTAAATTGTGGTAACCCCTACTTTATTAGATCATTTTGACTTAAGTGGTACCTTAAGGCAGAGTGTCAATATGAGAAAAGAGGTTGTCCATTGGTAACCTCTTTCCACATCCCCACCGTCCACAACTTATAGAATTCCACAATGACAAAAATGAATTTCATTGTCCTTAGTTAATGAGCTGCCTTTAATGCTTGGTAGGGCAGGCTTTTGTTCCATTACTTAGCAACATCATCATGCGTTATTTGCATAATGCCTGCCCAGTGGCAATTTTGGCAGAGGATGAGCAGTTGTCTGCCCTCAAACCATTTTAGACTAATTATCCAACTGACAGGAGTCATCAGAGAGCACGTCCTTTGCAAAGTTGCTGAATTGAGCAGTTTTTAAATAGTTTTAATAGTGGTGCATATCCCCATTAAAGTTATGAAGTTATGGAAAGATTATTTACCTATATTATACAGTTTACCACCCAGTTTAATAATATTTTACAGGGTGGTTTCTGTCAATTCTGCAAACAACGAAACAGACCAACAGAGAAACAGCATCACGTGTAATAAGAGCTGACAGTCTGTTATAGAAAGAAAACATTATTCTGTTACATGCATCAATACATCCATCTGTAGCATAATTTAAGTATAACTTGGATGGGGCCCCAGTCTCTCAAAGAGGTAACACAGAGACGAACATCTAAGCAACATGTTTTTGGATATAGTCGGGAAGCTGGAAAGAACCCAAACATGCACTGGAAGATCATAGAAGCTCCACAGCAAAAATCATTGGATGAGATTTGAGCTTGGAATCCTTTTGCCAGTAAAGCAACAATGCTAAAAAACACCCTTTTTGGCCCTTTTTCATGTAAATGAAAACATCTATTGGATTCGATTGATTAAAGGTAGAATTAAAAGCCTATGGATGGTCCACCAGTCCATCACAGGGCTTACTCAGCATTGGGATAAACAATTATAAGGACAAGAAATGCATAAAATATTCATGTTTTCAGATCTCTGCTTGGTTATTTCAAAATGGGTAAATCTGGCAATACATAATCATGTTACTCTAATTATGGTGAAACTATTTTGCTTACATCCCTAAAATTCAAATTTGATTATCTTGGAAATGAATCAGTTGAAGAAGGAGGGACCATAAAATGCCTCAGATGCATGATGTATTATGCTTAATACATTATGAATGAGCCAACATTCACAATAAAACACTGCACATTATGTGCTCTAATTCAACCTTATTAATAGGGTTCTGTTTGTGTTTTCTGGGGCACATTTAGTTCCAATGGGTGTTTCATTGTCACTAAGCTTTCATACCCCCTTGAGATCCACGACAAGCAGCTTCAAAAAGCCGAAACCGAGTATGCAGAGAAAATTGGAAAGAAGACTGAAAGAAGAAGACTGACTCGGGGACTGTGTGAAAGTTGTGGGAACTGCTGCCAGAAGTAGCTTTTAAAAGAGTTTTATAAGCTCTGGTGTCACAGGCATAAATCGTGAGGCTCTGTGGCCCTTTACAGAGAGACATAAATCATCATCTTTTCAGGCTGCATGAAAGGACTTGTGTGTACATACACCGAGGTTACCAAGTATTACCAAGTGTTTGTGATTTGTAGTCAGTAGTAATTCACATGGATGTGGAGTGATTAAACCCATATGTCAGAATTTCATGGTTTACAATGGACCAACAAGTGGTGTTCCAAAGTCCATTCTTCTGTCTTTTTATGATTTCTCTTGCTTCATTCATTTCTCTAGGGCAAGGAACGTTATGGTCTTTTCTGAGTTTAAGATTTTTAAACTTGTTGTGAATTCCCTTCATGAGAGTAACATATGCTTGCTGCTGCTCAAGCATGTCAGCAGGATAATTGGGATTTTAATCAAAATATGTTTTTAGATAGTAATTGGAGCAGTTGAATAGATATACTGATATGTAATGGTTTAGAGCCAGATGGAGTTATTTGTTTTGAACGTGCTTCATGATTATAAGGTTTTCATATAGTAAACTCTGATACAAGCAGACTCTTGTTTTCTGTATTTTACGTTATGAAGTCTAATACAAACAATATCTGCAATATATTCTGTTAATACCAAAGGATGAATACAATGCATTATGATTATTATAACTATCATAGATAGATAGATAGATAGATAGATAGATAGATAGATAGATAGATA